TTTTTTTGAGATGGGGTCTCACCCTGTCACCAGTCTGGAGTATAGTGGCGTGATTTCAGCTCACTGCAGCCTGTGCCTCCCAGGTTCAAGTGATTCTTCCACCTCAGCCTCCCAAGAAGCTGGGATTACAGGCACCCACCATCATGCCTGTCTACTTTTTCTCTAATTTTGTAGAGACAGGGTTTACCATTTTGGCCAGGCTGGTCTTGAACCCCTGACTTCAAGTGATATGCCTTTCTCGGCCTCCCAAAGTGCTGAGATTATAGGCATGAGCCACTGCGCCCAGCCTATCCATTTCTTTAGTCAAATACTTACTGAGGACCTACTGTGTGCTAGGGACTGCTCCAGGTACGGGGAATTCAGAAGTGAATGAGGCAAGTGCCTGCCCTCAAGTAACTTACATTTCCCTGGCCACGGCAGGAAGATTTAAGGAGTGAAGACAAGATTGGGTTTTGGTCTCAGTCATTGCTTCCCTGGACTTGGGTCTCTTTTAGAGACTGGTTGTTCTTGGTGGCCAGGCTGATCTGCAGCACTGAGCTGTGGATCCTGAACACAGGACCCGTAGTTATCAGCTGCCAGAGAGCTATGTGACATGCTTGGAACCCATACCCTGGGATAACTTTAGTGTTCTGAATTTCCAACTAAAAGTGCAGCCAAAAAATAAAAATGAGTAAAATAGCATAAAACCCAAGACTGTTAGGGCTCAGTGTATTCTGGCACAGTGTTCCAGTGGGATTCTGGGATGGTTTTCAAGCACCGTGGCTTCTCTTGACTTTCCCATGGCCTATTCCAAGACAACCACTGATCTGCAGATGTTCCCCTAGGACTGGGGCATGGCAAAGGCCCATTGCAACAGCAGCTACTGCTGCTGCCAGGGCCAGAGGTCAGTGCTCATGTGGTCTCTGGCAACAGTGGTCCTCCTCCAGCTCCCACCCATCCCCAGCAGGTGATAGAGAAACCCTGTGAACTCCTCCTTTGAGACCAACAGTTCCCTCTGTGATGTAGGGAAACAGATGTGGCTGCCTTGAGGCAGAAGAGGGGCTCTCCAGTGAGTAAGCAATTGCTCCCAGCCCATGAGCCTCATGATTTACAGGGCATCTGCTCCACATCCAGCCCCTTTGTTGTATGCTAAGGGGGTGTAGGGGTGGGAGTGGTGTGGGGAATTGAGCCTGGAGGAAAGAGGAGAGAAGGACAAGGGAGTTGGTCTGGTCTCTGCTTCCAAGCTCTGCATAGTCTGGCGAGGTAGAAATTACGTGAAATAGTTAAGGCATCCCATGGAGAAACAGTTTTGTTCTCCTTTAAAATTCAAACTGGCCTGTTCACCAATGAATGAGGTGATCTCGCTGTTCCCTAAGTTCCCTTGTGTAGACAATGAGAAAGTTCATGACGTGATCACCTCATTGCCAGTTTTCTTTCTGCTGTCAGAGTGTGAAGTTTGAAGCATTCTGCCTTCTTTTCCTGGGCTCTCCCATCTTTTCCATATCCATCTTCTCTCTCTTCTTCTACTTCTGCCTCTTCCACTGTGATCTGGCTCAGAGATGCTCATCATCTGCCCAAAGCTCATCTGGGGGTGCCATCCCAGGCCAGGTTCTCAGGGAATGGGGACAGACAGTGTGGAAACATGTAGGGGGGCGGTGTGCCCTTGGCCAGCTGGGTTTCATTAGAACCCTTCTCTATCTGCTACCTTGCCACAGCCAGACTTCCTTTAAACACTCTTAATGTATATTTTTAGCACTTATTCATAAATATCACGTTACACATGCATTCATTCAGCAAACATTTGTTGAGTGCCTACCACACACCAAACACAACACTAGGGATAAAAAAATGGGTGAAATAGACCCAGAGTGTTGGTCCTATTTCATGCCTCCAAGGCTACTCTACTCTCTTTTTTTGTGGTTGAAGATTCTGAGACGCAAAGTGGGACAGCGACTTATTTAAGGGTGACATAATTAAGGGCAGAGCCAAGACAGGAACATAGGACTTTTCAAGCTAGGTGAGACCAGACAGCAGAAATTGTATTTTCATACTTATATTTGGCATCTAAAATGTACAGAGTATGTCTATGTCCATCTCCATGGTAACAGGAGGCAGGCATGACTATTATTATTAATATAATTATGAAGTGCCTCCACATGGTTATTCATTTGCAGATAAAGAAACTGAGGTTCATGAGGTTAAGTATTTGAATAAAAGTCACATGACTGGAGGTAACAGAGCTGGGAGAAGGGCTTGGGTCTTCTGACTCCCAGTTATCTGCAACATGGATCTTTTCACCTGTACCGGCCACCTCTCACAGAAGAGCCTTCTCTCTCCTCTGGCTCCCTGGTGGCCTGTGGTCAAAGATGACCGCGAAGAGACCCTAGACTATCTCAGTAGTAGGCTGCAGTACCATCAGGATATAGGAAAGAGGCAGAAACTCAGAGACCATTAGGAAAGGGGCAAAAGAAAAAAAACCAGGAAAGATTAGCTGACAGAGAGGGGTAAAGGGTACTGGAGAAATGGAGGAGAAAGCAGCATAAGACTGGTCTGGTAAGAAAGAATGGAGCTTTGTGATAATTTTCACACCCTTCGACATAAAAATGGACACACCTAATGTGGATCAAAACCGGGTGCCATGGTAAGGGAGGTGTTGGAACACACAATGCGACTTGTACCACTGATAGGCATGGGAGTTGTAAATCCCGTCTGTGATTCGACGAGGGCTGGCGATCCACAGTGTTGGATTGCCTGACATCATCCTCGCATTCCTTGAATTCCAATCAGCCTTCTGATTGGATTCCTTCTCACTAACCCCTCTCCTACTGGAAACAAGAAACAGTAGCCTTGTGGCCGACTCCTAGAATTCCGTGACGTTCCCCCATGAACCTCAGTTTCTTCATCTGAAAAAGGAATAACCATGTGGAGGCTCTTTGTAATTATGTGTATAATAATAATCATGCCTGCCTCTTGTTACCATGGAGATGGGATGGACATACTCTGTACATTTCTCTGCATTGAGGAGAGCTGCTAAAAGAGAAGGAAACAACCTCAGTCTCTCTTGATTGTCTTTTAAATGATCTCCTTCAGGTTTAGGGGGATCCCTTTGGTGTCAGACCGCCCAGAATCTACTCTACTATTATAACCCATCCATTAAATCATTGGAGTTTTTGGATAAATTTTCTTCCTTTTTTTTTTTTTTTTTTGTTTTTTTTTGAGACAGGGTCTCACTCTGTCGCCTAGGCTGAAGTGGAGTGGTACAATCACCGCTCACTGTAGCCTTTACCTCCTGGGCTTAAGCCATCCTCTGCCTCAACCTCATGAGTGGCTGGGGCTACAGGCACATGCCACCATGCTGGCTAATTTATATTTATGTTTATTTATTTATTTATTTATTTTTGAGACTGAGTTTTGCTCTTGTGGCCCATGCTGGAGTGCAATGGTTCAGCTCACTACAACCTCTCCCTCCTGGATTCCAGTTATTCTCCTGCCTCAGCTTTCTGAGTAGCTGAGATTACAGGTATGTACCACCACGCCTGGCTAAATTTGTATTTTTAGTAGAGATGGAGTTTTTTCACTTTGGTCAGACTGGTCTTGAACTCCCAACTTCAGGTGATCCTCCTGCGTCGGCCTCCCAAAGCGCTGGGATTACAGGTATGAGCCACTTTGCCTGGCCCAATTTATTTTAATTTTTTTGTAGAGATGGGATCTTGCTCTGTTGACCAGGATGGATTTTTTTATCCAATTTTCTATCAATAAATCAGTGAATATGTAATGAACAGCTTCTATGCAGCCCTTCTTAGATCAGCGGCTTTGGGGGATACAGAAGGAACATACTTTAGAGACTTTTAAACCAGCTTATGAACCTCTTGGAGCAAGACTAATGTCTCAGCTAAATGTAATTACTCACTTATTTGCTTGGCAGACCATTGGGGCTCTGGAAATTTATCATCATCTTGTCGGTGGCTCTGTGCTATGTAGAGAGATTATGACTTATTCACCCATTTGACAAATATTTATTGGACACATGCTGTCTGCTAGGTA